AACCGTTAACCGAACCGAAGTTTGCTCTACCGAATTCACCGAACCGAAATTTTTTTCGGTTAATCGGTCGGTTAACCGATTAACCGAACTTTTTAAAGCTAAAATTTAAAATTCAAAAAATAACACCTAAAATAATAAATCTAATTAAAATAAAATACATATCATAATAAATTCATAACAAAATATACAAAAACATTAATTAGAAACTCCAAACATCCATAACTTCAAATTAGTATTTATATTTATATTATTATTTATATATATATTAAAAACTTCGGTTAACCGTTCGGTTAATTCGGTTAACCGACCTTTCGAACCGAATTAACCGTTAACCGAAGTTTTAAAATTCCTTTAACCATTAACCGAACCGAAAAAGTTCGGTTCGAAAACGGTTAACCGAACTTTGTCGGTTCGGTCGGTTAACCGAAAATTATCCGAAATTTGCACACCCCTAGTATGTATGTGTGTATGTGTGTGTATGTATGTATATGTATATGTGTATATATATATATATTAGATGGATCAGGTGAGAACGATATTGTCCAAGACAGAACTAAGAATTAATCGCAGTATCTTCATGTCCAGATCTAATAGATCAGAAACACAATTTTTTTTTTAAATGTGGTGACATTTTCATAAATAATTGAACTTTAAAGTGCAAGTAAATTGTGTTAAAAGTGCAATTAACAGTTTCATATAGTGCACCTAAGTGCAAGTGAAATATACTAAAAGTGCAAGTAAAATGCATTAAAAGTGCAACAAATAATGTACACTGACCATCAATATTAGGTGCACCTAACGTTATCATTAGTTGCACCAAACGTTATCATTAGTTGCACCAAACGTTATCATCAAGTGCACCAATGTGAAAGACGTTATCATTAGGTGCATCGATGTTAAAAAGGTAAATTACTTGAACTATTAAGTGAAAATGGTTGTACTTTTTAAGTGATTTTACTTGCACTTTTTGCTTACACACTTGCACCAGTTAATTGCATTTTTAACACATGTTACTTGCACCAAAATTTCAGTTATTTACAAAAATACTACTGCATTTTAAAAATAAAAAATTATATCTAATACGTTAAATTTGGACACATAGACGGCTACGATTAGTTCTCAGTTCGTTTCTGGCATCTGTTCTCACTTGAGCGCAATCCTATATATATATATATATATATATATATATATATATATATATATATATATATATATATATATATATATATATATATATATAGAGAGAGAGAGAGAGAGAGAGAGAGAGAGAGATGAAACTCGAAAAGTAAGCATGATGTCATTAGAACACAAGGTACTTATATTATTTATTAACATCAAAATTATGACTATTAAATACTTTATTATTCACATTAAAAATTCTATTAATCGAAAGAAATGTATTTTTACATTTCTAAAATTTAATAAGTGCTAATGATGTTAGTCCTTAACTGAATTGAAAATTGTGTTGGTAATATATGTTGTATTAAGTGTTTCTTCTTTGTGTTATTTGCGTTGTTCATTTGCATTTTTTTTCTAAATTTACCTTTCACATTTTCTCTTTTAACCTTTATTTTAACATTAGTCCTTAGTTGGAATAAAAATATAATATGTTATAGTGATATAAGTGACATTAATGTTTGTATTTGGTGCTCTTTATGTTATTCATTTATAATTTCTTATTACTTAGTTTATCCTCAGTATTTTTTATTTTTGTTAGTTCTATCTTCACCATGTAAAATACAAACATATAAATACATGTGTGTATATGTAGTTTCCATAAATATAGTTTAATTTAATAACAAATTTTAATTAATGAATAATGTGTATCTATTTTGAAATGATTTTTTATTTAAAAATTTAACTTCTATTTATTTTAATCTTTTTTAATTGAAATTTCACTCTTTTTTTTTTTTTTGGTAAAGAGCTTAGTTTATCTTTTGTATCTTATTTGATGTGAAATATATGTATCATATTTCTATTTCATTTATTATGGTATCACTATTAGAAATCTAATTATAATAAAAGAAATTATAAGAAAAACTAATTGCGTTTGCTAAAAGCTAAATCTTTTCTTCTTTTTTTTTTGAAACACAATATCTACTATATGTGTTCAATGCAGTTTTTTAAAAAAAAAAATATGCTAGATAATAATATTTCTTATCATCAAAATTAAAATTCTATATTCTAATATGTAAAAGATTGAGTTAATTAAACTTTTGGTCTTACGATTATTGGGGTTTTAGTTTCAATCCACGACTTTTTGAACTAATAATTGAGTACCATAAGTATTCAATTTTTATCAATTTTGGTCCATCCAGCCAAATTGCCGGCGAAAAATGGCCAAAGAATTTTAAAGGATAAAATCTTGAAGGAACAAATTGCACTTTTGGTCTTGTGAGTATTAGGGTACTGACAATTTGAGTACGTGACTTTCAAAACTCCCAATTTAAACCTTTAACTATGCAACTTTTGGTAGATTTGATCCTCCGGGCCAAATTGCCGGCCAATTTTGGCCGGAAAAAGATTTAATGCTTCGAATTAATTTCTGATGAAGGTAAAATTGTCATTTCACTCCCTTCTTCTTCATTCTCCCTTTCTTCTTCGTTCTTCTTCTTCTTCTTCGCTCACCGGTTCTATCCCTTTCCATTTTGGGACTAATATTATTTGAGTTTCAATTCAGAAAACGCAAACGTCAGATCAGAGTACAAAACATAAATGATAATCACTAAAAAGTCAAAAGAAGAACAAGAATTATATTATGACGTCAAGCTAAGGTTCCAAATGAACCTGCAGTTTGAACTGAATTTTTTGATCCTCGTCCATACCCGAAAGAGAAAAATGACTTCTTGTTAATTCTGCTACTGCTACTCTCGCCGGAACTTATGATCTCATCCTACCGGCGTTTCTGCGGCTGAACTTCCTTCTGAACCGCCAAATAAACCCGCCGGTCCGCCGCCGAGTCCATCGAGAAAGATCTCCTGATCGGTTGAACCGCAAACTGCTCATCCTTTTGCCTAATGTCAATGCACTCATCCCCAACGCTGGTAACTCGCCTGAATTTTCTCCGATTTTTTCTCGCAAATTTCGGTGTCGGAGACGGGATGATCGACAGATCCTCATCAAGTTCAATAACAACGCCGTCGTCTTCATTACTCCCGACCGCCGTGAAATTTCCAGTAGAACCGCCGAGGTTCGAAAAAATCACCGACGAGGAAATGCAGTTTCTGCAGATTAGACAATTGGCGTTGTTACGAAGCCAAACATCAATGCATTCAATGTGGAAGCCAAACATTCAATGCATTCAAAATGGAAAGGGATAGAACCGGTGAGCGAAGAAGAAGAAGAACGAAGAAGAAAGGGAGAATGAAGAAGAAGGGAGTGAAATGACAATTTTACCCTCATCAGAAATTAATTCGAAGCATTAAATCTTTTTTCGGCCAAAATTGGCCGGTAATTTGGCCCGGAGGACCAAATCTGCCAAAAATTGCATAGTTAAAGGTTTAAATTGGGAGTTTTGAAAGTCACGTACTCAAATTGTCAGTACCCTAATACTCACAGGACCAAAAGTGCAATTTGTTCAATCTTGAAGGCAATTTTATCCTTTTACTTCTATTCTTCTCTTTCATTCTCTGAGCACAACGATGACCATTGTTTCCAACGTCTCCTCTCCCCTCCCCTGTCATTTTTGTTGTTGTCAATTAGGCTCCAATTACATTTGTTGTTGTTGTTGTTGTTGTTGTCAATTAGGCTCCAATTACATCTAAAGATTCAATCTTTACATAGAATCTGTGAAAATGGCTTTTTTTTTTTTTTTTGGGGGGGGGGGGGGGGGGGGGGTTATGTGTTTAGACTTGTAGATATGAAATCTGGGTTCGTAATTTCATTTCTGGATTTTGGGATTTGTTCATAAAAGCTTCGTGGGTTTTATGATCTTATTTGTTCTAATCCTCCTTGCGCTTGGAATCCCAACAACGATGTACATGACGCCGCGGAACTCGGATCAAAATGTCGCCGGGTCGGCGGCTTCCGACTCGAGTCCCGTGCTCATGAGGAGACGAAGGAATGGGGGCAACCAGAAACAATGGTCATCGTGCTCGGAAGAATAGAAGTAAAAGGACAAAATTGCCCTCAAAATTTTATCCTTTAAAATTTTCTGGTCACTTTTTGTCGACAATTTGGCCGGATGGACCAAAATTGATAAAAATTGAATAGTTATGGTACTCAATCGTTAATTTTGAAAGTCGTTGATTGAAATTAACAAAATCTCAATAGTCGTAGGACCAAAAGTATAATTAACTCGTATAAAATTTTATGTGTTTCTTTATTTATATAACTAATTTGATCATTTAATTTTACTAATTTTTTGTTGGTAATTAAACATTATTCAATTGAATATAGTGTGTACGTATCTAGAACTAGTTTAAGAAATAAAATTAAAAATCTTTCCTACATATTGATTGATAATCTATATATATATAAAAGTAAAATCCTCCAAACAAATTTTCCCCCTAAAACTTAGGGTCATTTATGTAAATTAATATATATTATGTTGTTTATGGAAAGAATAATTTGGGATTGGTACGTGTGAATTAATTAAGAATAAAATTAATTAGGAATATTAATATAATGACTTAATTAAGAATAAATCAATATAATAAATTAATTATGGCAATACTTTAAAGAATAAATCAATATAATCTATATATATATAAAAGTAAAATCCTCCAAACAAATTTTCTCCCTAAAACTTAGGGTCATTTATGTAAATTAATATATATTATGTTGTTTATGGAAAGAATAATTTGGGATTGGTACGTGTGAATTAATTAAGAATAAAATTAATTAGGAATATTAATATAATGACTTAATTAAGAATAAATCAATATAATAAATTAATTATGGCAATACTTTAAAGAATAAATCAATATAATAAATTAATTATGGCAATACTTTAAATAAATAAATACAATTTCCTTTTGAAAAATCTTACAAACTTACAATTCTCATATTTTTTACCTATAAATACAATGAGATGACTAAAAAAATTAAACTCTTCATTTTACATTGCATCCTTCTTTTCCCTTGAAGGTGACTCTCTCATCACCAATTTAATCATTGTGGTTCAATAGTTGCTCAAACTAATATGCATATTTCAATGCATTAAAGGTACAATTTCTCTTTTAGCTATTTCTATTTCTGTGAAAAAAAATATTATTTTTTCATTTACATTCTTTATCATGGATTTGTCCAGGTCGATGCCACTTTAGACCAGCCGTAGTTGCTCTGACTAAGCCGATGCAGAAATGTTTAATTTTTTTAGAAACGTATATTTTTCGTATTATTTTTGTCTGTAATTGATCTTCCATAGTTTTTAATTATTGTTTTTTTTTTTAATTTTGTATTATATGTATTTTTTTGTTGTATTATTGTTTTGTTTCAAACAATAATTTTGTAATATTGTTTATCTATTTTATTTTCAGGCATGATTTTTGTTATTTGTGCGATGCAATGGTTACGGAGTCAGTAGGGGATACTATAGAGAGAAAAAAATCGATGGCAAGATTCAGAAGAATGTGGTGGAAAGTAGTTCCTCTTCATCTAATGAACATACTTCTTCTTATTCTGAGAAAGAATTGAAGGCCAATAAATTAAAATATCTCTATATGCATACTTAAAAGTACCATTTAGTGTTTTTTGCTTTTATTGACCTAAACTTGATTTCCTGTAATTAAATTCTTATAAAACCAATGTTCTTATATTTTTTGTTTGTTTCTAGAGTATGGATTATTTGTTCCATACATTTTTTATTTAAATATATTGGTTGTGTTTTAAGTACTGAGTATCTGATGGTATTTTTTTATTGTTCTCTTTGTGTTATGCAGGGAGGATTTTATTTTTTATTAATAGAATACAATATTATATGATTAATATTATTAAAGTAAGAAATTTATATATGACAAATTACTATATATAATTATGGTAACGTTTTATTTAAAATTTAATGAAATTAATTTTTTCTATACTATTAATAAAAATAAATTTTTTCTATGTACAATAATTGTATATTAAAATATAGTAATACAATACCTAATATAATATATTCTTTCTTACTTTTCCTGTTCTTACTATAATTATAGATTAAATTTTCTATCAATTTGCTTATGTAAGATATCGTATGACATCTATATATTATTTCCTCTTCTGTTTTTCTTATTCTTTTTATTTTTTTTAATGCCTAATAATTACCACAAATAATTATTAATAATTGTAAATTTATATTAGGCAATTATATAAATAATTAATTATTAAATCAAATATAATTTATTTTGTATTGTAGACGCATTGTTTTTAATAATTTTGATTTAAACTATTTAAGTTTCTATGTTTTTCATATACAAAGTTATAATTGTAAATTTACAATTGTAATACTGTTATAATAATATTGAATAAATATTACCCATATGTTTAGTTTTAATTATATATTATATTAAAATAATTATATATTAATATAATATAGTGATGATTAATACGGGTAAATCATATATAAGGATAATCTAATATAGAAAATATTCATTACTAACCATATATAACTTAGGAAATAACTAAACTTATTGAAACTTAATTATTTATAATTTCATCTTTAATATAAAATTATAAATATATAATTTTAATATCCAAATTTAATAAGATTTTTTTTATTGTGAATCTATATATTTTAAATAATTTTAATTTAATAATATTATACCTTAATTATAAAATTAATACCATGTAGTCAATTAATTAAATATTCTATTTCATTTTTCCGCTCAAATTTTTGTAGTCAATTAATTAAATATTCTATTGGTAATACCGTGTACAAAAAATATTAATTAATTAATTAGGTAATAACATAATAGCATAATTGGTAATAATATGTATGGTATTTTATAATATACTTGGTAATATAATTAATTGGTAATAAACATATTCAGTAAACTGCACAAATAAGCATATAGATTTTATATTTTAAATTTTAAATTTTAAATTTATGTCTTTTGTTTAAATTGAAAGATTTAATTGGTTTACATCTATACTATTACTAAAAACAAAATCATCCTTTCCAAAATATCTATACTATTACTAAAAACAAAATCATCCTTTCTTACTTTCCTTCCCAAACAATAAAAAAAGTGAAAAAAAAATTATATTACCAATTAATAATACTAATAATTAGTAAAAATGTTAGTAGTAAAATAGAAAACAAAAACTTAATTCACGAAAAGTAGAAAAGGAAATTAAATTCACTGATTAATTAATACTAACAATAATCAGTAAAAAAAAGTTTGTAGTAAAATAGGAAAATAAAAAAATACCCTTAATTCACTAAAAACTGAAAATATAAACGGAATTTACTGATTACTAATAACCAGTAAAATAGAAAAATAAAAAATGAGTCTTAATTCAATGAAAATGAAATAAAAAATGGAAGATTGTGAAAAAAAAAAGAAGATCATAATAAAGATAACAGTAAAATAAAAAGCAAAATTCTACCCAAAATTAGAAATATAAAAAAGATTCTTTTTTGAAGTCATAAAAAAGATTCTTAATTCATGAAAAATAGAAAAGGAAACAGAATTTACTGATTAATTAATACTACTAATAATAATAATCAGTAAAAAGGTTAGCAATAAAATAAGAAAATAAAAAAAGATCTTAAATTCACTAAAAATCTATACTCTATATTATTATTAAAAACAAAATCATCATTTCTTACTTTCCCGCCCAAACAATAAAAAAGAGGAAAAAATTATCAATTAATAATATTAATAATAATTAGTGAACAGGTTCGTAGTAAAATAGAAACAACAAAATCCTTAATTCACAAAAATTTGAAAATGAAACGAAATTCACTGATTAATTAATACTAACAATAATCAGTATAAAAAAAAAAGTTGTAGTAAAATATGAAAAAAAAAAAAAAAGGATCCTCAATTCATTAAAAATGAAAAAAGAAACGGAATTCACGGATTAATACTAATAATAATCATACAATATTTAAATGCACTATAATTTTTTAATTATAATTCTATCAATATAAATTATAATTAATGAAATTATATTATAGAATTTTTCTATATACATATTAATAAATATTATGTGTATATACAATGTATTATACAATCATATGAGGAAATGCGTCCGATTAGAGTTTAAATTTATTCATACAAAATTTAAAATTTATATATATATTTTTTATTTCTAAGTACAATTCTCTTAGTTAGTATTCATATTTTTAGAATTATAATATATATAAAATACAATTAGGAATGAATCAACTTAATTATCTGAATTTTTACAATAAATTTATCTAAATATGTACATGATTAGAGATTATATTAACTATACAAAATTTTAATTTTAATTTTGTATGTTATGAAAATAGATACTTGACCAAATATATAAAAGTCCAACTATATTATTATATTGTACATTATAACATCTTTTAATTGTTTTCTATTTTTATTTTTAAATTCATAATATAAAAAATTCATGTGCAACACATGGGTAAAACACTATATTTTTAAAAATACAATTTGATAAACATCATAAATTAATTAGTACAATATCATTTATGTTTATAATAATTAAAGAAAAAATAAATAATTCAAATATGTGAAGCAATGATTTCAAAATGAAATTAATATACAGTTACAAATAAATATAACATGATTAGATTTACTTTAATTAGTTTTAATTTTCTTAATGAAGTGACTTTTCTTTATTCATTTTTTTATGGGATACTAAGGGAGTGTTTGGATTGCTGGAAAATCTATACTATAATTAAAAACAAAATTCTATTTACCTGATTTCCCGCCGAAACAATAGTAAATAGTAAAGGTAAATTAAAAAATGAACAGAAATATTTCACAATAATTCTCTACATCATCATCAATTAAAAATTGAACAAAAATTAGGTAAATTGGAAAATAAATGAATATTAATAATTGACTGAAAATTAAAAATGAAAAAAAGAAACAGAAATTAGGTTAATTGGAAAACGAAATGAATATTAATAATTGACTGAAAATAAAAAATGATCCATAATTGACTAAAATGGAAAAAAAAAATTGTCAGATTATTGCATTTTAATTTTTCACAATAATATTACACAGAAGAATAAATCAAATCACAATTATATCATAAATTTTTCACAAATTTTAACAATGGAACAGAAATTAAAAATGGAACGGAAATATTTCAATAATAATATTCTACATCATCAATTAAAAATAGTTCGGATAGGTAAAAATATCACTGCATCTGATATTCTAATTGACTGGAAATAAAAAAGAATAATTATTTGAAAATGAATATGATATTACTAATTGACTGAAATTATAAAAGGAAATGAATATTAATAATTGACTGCAAATAAAAATGATTCATAATTGACTAAAATGAAAAAAGAAATCGACAGATCATTGCATTTTAATTAAAAAAATGGAACGGAGATTAAAAATTGGACGAAAATATTGCAATAATAATATTCTGCATCATCAATAGTAAATTTATATTTTAAACAATAGTAAATGTAAATTAAAAATAGAACGAAAATATTTCAATAAAAATATTCTGCATCATCAATTAAAAATGGAACGAAAATTAGGTAAAAATATCAATGCATCTAATATTCTAATTGACTAATTGACTGAAAATAAAAAAAAAAAAACAAAAAAAAGAATAATTGACGGAAAATTAATCTGATATTACTAATTGACTGAAAATAAAAAAGGATCACTAATTGACTGAAATTCTACCATTATATATTTTTACCCGAGTCACCCATACTTTTGGATTAAAGGTGTTAGCTCTAGACGAAGATGGAAAAGATTGTGTTGTTACTACCAATGTTGTCTACAAAGAGGTTTTAATAGTGTGCATGTAAATACAATATGTGATATTATGTTTTTTTTTAATGACAAAATTGTTATATATCTAGACAAAAATATATTTTTTCCGTACAAATAAATTAGAATATCAATTCATTTTTATAACTGAGTTGCTACACATTTGTCTAATTTATAAAAATACTGAACAATGATAAATAAAATCTTCAAACATAAAGCACCGCGTGCGTACATCTACATATTAGCTATTAATTTGAACAATTAATAACATAAAAACACATAAACGATCCAAACCATACCTTCAATTGCACTATATAATATTTGATGTTTTAATTTAAATAATTATATATCGATCCAAATATTCTTAATATATTACAACAAATTCATTCCGTGCATCGCACGGGCGCAAATACTAGTTGTTCCAAAAAATACTTATAAAAGAGGGGTAAATATATGCAAGGGCCCGGGCATCCCACGTGATTAATTTGTATCTCAATTATTATATTTATTAAATTTGAATACGGAGTAAAAGACAAATATTTAGTGGATGAAGAATTCGTCACAACTCACAAAGTTTGATTTGGCTTGGAATTTTCATATGATAAAACTAGCTACTACCCTCCGCCCAGACAAGACAAATTATAATGTA